CAAAGGCAAATGGAACATAAGGGAGTACATTTTGGAAATATCTCATATTGCTTCAAAACTAAGTGCACTCAAGCTCATTTTACCTGAGGAATTGCTTGTGTATTTAGTTTTGATCTATCTTCCTTCTCAATTTAATCAATTTAAAGTCAGTTGCAACTGCATTAAGGAGAAATGGTCTCTCAATGAGCTCATTTCTCATTGTGTTCAAGAGGAAGAGAGAATAAAGCAAGATAAGACTGGAAGTGCTCATTTGGCATCTACCTCTAAGGACAGCAAGAAAACGAAATTTAAGGAAGCTGTAAATTCAGGGCCTCAAAGAAAGCATCATAAGGAAACTAAGGAAGAAACTAAGGAATCTGGATGCTTCTTTTGCAAAGGGACTAATCACAAGAAAAAGGACTGCACTAAGTACCACGCCTGGCGTGCGAGAAAGGGTATGTCTCTTGCTCTTGTTTGTTCTGAGGTTAATTTAATTTCGGTACCCAAGGACACTTGGTGGGTAGATTCTGGTGCTACTACTCACATAAGTGTAATTATGCAAGGTTGCCTGAGCTGCCGAAAACCAAGTGATGGTGAAAGATACATCTATGTCGGTGATGGCAAGCGGGTTGAAGTTGAGGCTATCAGTGTTTTTAGATTATTATTAAAGACTGGTTTTTATTTGGAATTGAAAGAGACATTTGTTGTGCCATCATTTAGGCGGAATTTAATTTCTATTTCTGCATTGGACAAATTTGGTTATTCTTGTTCATTTGGAAATAATCAGTTTAGTCTATTTCAAGATTCAAAACTTATTGGTACCGGTCTTTTATCAGTTTATGATAATCTATATTCACTTGTTATAATTGTCTCATATAATGAAACTTTGCATGTTACTCCCTCCGTCCCGCTATGATTGTCCCATTTTACCTTTTCGGTCCGTCCCACTTAGATTGTCTCATACCTCATTTGGTAAAGTTTGTGTGGTTCTAAATCACTCCTACTTTATTCTTACTTTATCAATTCATTATCAACCACATAAACCCACTTTTATTAATAACCGTGACACCTTCTCTTGTCCCAAACTTAGGGGGACGGATGTAGTAGTACTCTTGGTACTAAAAGAAAATTAACCAATGAGAATTCATTATCACTTTGGCACAAACGTTTATGACATATTTCTAAAGAAAGAATTCAGAAACTTGTGTGAGTTGAAATTCTTGATTCTCTTGACTCCTCAAATTCGGATATTTGTGTTGAGTGTGTTAAGGGAAAACAAACGAACAAAAGGAGATTAGGTGCCGAGAGAGCTTCAGATCTATTGAAATTGATATATACAAACATTTGTCGACCATTCCATACACCATGTAGAAATGGTCAAACATATTTTATCACTTTCATAAATGATTACTCTCGTTATGGTTACCTTTATCTCATTCATGAAAAGTCCCAATCAATAGACGTGTTCAAATCTTATAAGGCTGAAGTTGAAATTCAACTAGGCAAAAGAATAAAAACCGTTAGATCTGACCGTGGTGGTGAATACTATGGTAGATATGATGATTCCGGTGAACAACGTCCAGGGCCATTTGCTAAATTCCTAGAGGAGCGTGGGATTGTTCCTCAGTACACCATGCCAGGAACTCCTAGCATGAATGGTGTTACTGAGAGACGAAACTGTACATTGAAGGACATGGTTAGGAGTATGATTTGTCATAGTACTTTACCAGATTCACTCTAGGGAGAGGCACTGAAAACTGTAGCTTACATACTCAATAGAGTTCCAACAAAAGTTACAACTAAAACCCATTATGAAATTTGGACTGGAAAGAAACCCAGTATAAATCATTTCCATATTTGGGATTGTCCAGCTGAGGCAAGGCCTTATAGGCCAAATGAAAAGAAATTGGACTCTAGAACAATTTATAGCTATTTTGTAGGATACTCTGAGAGGTCAAGGGGGTATAAATTTTATGATCCCACTACCAGGACTATTTTTGAGACGGGAAATGCCCGGTTCTTTGAGGATATTGAGTTTGGGGGGGGTGAGGAAATAAGGTTAGAGATTTTGTTCTTGAGGAAGAGCATGTTACTCTTCCTTCAGTTGTCATTGAACATGATCAAGATATTTTTATACATAATGATGTTCAAGAAACAACTCCAGTTCAGGACAATCTCGGAAACATCCCCAATCAAGTATCTAAAATTATTAATTAATGAGGATTAAACTCAACAACCTCCAGAACCTAAGGTGCCATTAATGAGATCCACTCGAGAGAGGAGAAGTGCAATTTCGGATGATTATATTGTATTTCTCCAAGAACATGAGGAAAATTGGGAATTGGTGGAAGAAATAATTGTCTTCCTCCAAGAACAAGAATCAAATGTTGGTTTTGCGGAAGATGATCCAATCAACTTCCGTCAAGCCAGGTAAAGTTCTAACTCTCAAGAATGGATTAATGCCATGAAAGATGAGATGAAGTCTATGAGTGACAATGACGTTTGGGAGCTAGTCTCATTGCCTGAAGGTATTAAACCCATTGGTTGTAAATGGATATTTAAAATCAAGAGGGATTCAAAGGGCAATGTTATAAGGTTTAAAGCTCGTCTTGTTGCTAAAGGCTACACTCAAAAGAAAGGAATTGACTATAAAGAGACTTTCTCTCCAGTATCTTCAAAAGACTCTTTTAGAACAATAATGGCATTAGTTGCACATTTTGATCTTGAGCTTCATCAGATGGATGTGAAAACAACATTTCTCAATGGTGACATTGAGGAATCAATATATATGGAGCAACCAGAAAACTTTGTTTCAGGAGATCCAAAGAAAATGGTTTGCAAATCCATCTATGGGGTAAATCGGGCTTCTCGTCAGTGGATAAGGTTCTTGGACTCTCACAAGTTTAGTCTCATGCAGTGCCCTAAGAATGGTTTTGAGAATCTAAAGAAATGAGGAACATTCCTTATGCTTCGGCTGTAGGAAGTTTGATGTATGCTCAGGTTTGTACAAGACCTATTTTGGCATACATTGTTGGGATGTTAGGCAGATATTTGAGCAATCCGGGAATGGACCATTGGAAAGCAGCCGAAGGGGTCATGCGGTATTTACAGAGAACAAAGGAATATATGCTCTGCTCACATATCGGAGATCGGATCAACTTGAGATCATTGGGTATACCGACTCTGATTTTGCTGGATGTCAAGATAGTTTGAAATCCACTTCAGGCTACATCTATATTCTGGCTGGAGGAGCTATCTCCTAGAGGAGTATCAAGCAGACTCTTACAGCTACCTCCACCATGGAAGCAGAGTTTATAGCATGTTATGAGGCATCCAATCAGGCATTATGGCTGCGAGATTTTGTTAGTGGACTGCGCATAGTGGATAACATTGAAAGACCACTTAAGCTATTGTGTGACAATAGGTCGACAGTCCTCTATGTTAAGAATAACAACGGTTTGACAAAGGCAAAACATATTGGGGTCAAATTTAAGGCTGTTAAGGAACGAGTACAAGAAGGAAAATTATATATAGAACACATTAACACAAACTCCATGATTGCGGATCCGCTCACTAAAGGATTGCCACCCAAAGTGTTTCACGAGCATGTTGCTCAAATGGGTGTCAAATCAGTTGAGGATTATGAGTTTTAATGGGAGTTTGTAAAGTTTCTATATTTGGTTAACTCAGTTTTTTAAGGATGATTTTTGCAGAAATAAAGTTTAAAGTTTAAAGTTTTATGTACTCTTACAGTTCAATATTGATCTCAGGGTGGACCAGTTGGAAATAGACATTCTATTCCAGCCCACACTTCATGTTATTTCCATGCTACACACCTATACTTGATCCATGTCGTTTATTATATTAATATACGTGATCATTGATGAGTCTAGTTATTCAAATATAGCAAAGACTTCTTTGGTCCTATGTTGATATAATTAATGGACCGGATTGGTTAAAGATTACTACAGTTTGATAACAAAATTTTGGAGCTCCTAAAGTAAACATACAATACTAAGGATTGTGTATGTCGTCCAAGTGGGAGATTGTTAAATTATTGGACTTATACTACATATAATATTCACAATATATTATATGTTGGGTTTAATTGTATGTTATATGCTATCTTATATTTAGCCCAAAAATTAGTGGTCCTGTAGATATTAATTTAAGTGGGCTAATAGGTTATCTAATAAGGTATAGGGCCCAAATGTGTAGAGACCCACAGGCTTAACCTAATTAATGATAGGCTGATTAGGGTTAAACATTCTCCATAAATAGAGGGGTTATGGTCCCTAGTTGAACGCGTCATTCCGTCTTTCTGCATCCCCTCGCTAGAGAGATAATTCCCGAGGGTGTGTATCAACTAGAAGATGCAAACCCTAGCCTCCGTCTCCCATATCTCTAAAGATCATCTCCAATGGAGTCAGGTACGCTTCCGCTCAGTTAATTCTCTAGATAATTCCAATATGAAGATTAAAGTATTATCGGATTTATTCCAACAGTATTCACTTGAACTAATATCAACATCAAATCACAATCATGCTATACTTAAAGCACACATAATATCAAACCTAACAAAACCAAATCAAACAAACTAGACCAGACTCATATAAACCAAACTAATTTAAAACAAATCAATTTAGAAAAGTCTTCAAAATCTCAGTCCAAATGATATATCCTAAAACAAATGCCGGTTTAAATATTGTTCATCCTCATATCAGTTATAAGTGCCTAACAATTTAACCAACTCCAGTGGTAGCAAACTACCCATACACTAAACGGTGTGTGTATAAAATAGGTGTGAAAGTAGTGTGAAACTATGATAATACTCTTGAAGGGGTGTAACAACCCCCCCTCCCCCTCCCAAACTAAAAAACAACAAAATTTAAAGTTCAATATTGTCAACCATTTAAATTTGAACTACGCCAATAATTTTGAATTCCCAGCAACCCTAACAGTTTCTTTAGTCCTCTCACATTTTTATACATTTTAGGCAAATTGATATGAAAAATGGAAATCTTATTGAGCTTGGCAAGTACTCCGGTAAGGTTCAGTTAAAAAAATGTGGATTTGTCAGAAAGTTAGCTACAGAGATGCTATAGAGATATAATCCATAAATTTTTATTTGTCATCATTCAGACACACTAGAAGCTTCAAGATCAAGAAAATAATATATTATTCTCTGATCGCGAACAGTGAGTGGACTTAGTTGTGCAAAAGTAAATCAGAGATTTTTCTGCAGTGTGGTGTCCTCCGGGGGCAGTGATACAAATTGAACGATCCTTTGGACTTGAGAAACATCTATTCGAAACTTTTCCGCTATTTGGTTGACATCCATAGGCCCTTCATGCTCATCATTTGCCTTTCCTTGATACAACATTATGATTTGTCTTAACTGCGCTACATTTAACGTTCCTGGAGGCGTCGGCCTTCCTTCATATCTGCTAGACTCTGTTGTTGCATTCCGTAGTTTCGGCAATGGTCGTTCGTACTTTCCCACTATTGAAGCCTGCCATGGTACGCCTGACATTAGAATTGAATAGTAACAGCCTCAGCAATATAAGTTGCTTATTACAGTATCTTTTTGGAAGTGAAAATTTCACAGAACTGGCGCAAGAGATGTACATGTTGATTTAAAAATATCAGTGTGCAACCTGTTTCCAACAATTGTAAATGAACTTATTACTCCAAAATCGAAACAATGGTCGAGGCATTTGTGTCATATATGGAGCCTAGGCAGTTTCGGAGCAGATGAGAGAAGAGGAATGTTTCTCATTTTTTAAAATATATTTTTACACTTAGGCATTTAGCTGGCTGGAAAGAAAGTGAGGAAAAAGATAAAGTAAAAAATTGTATAGTCAAGGATTGTGCAGAGAAAAATAATAGGAACCACAAATTAATTGATTAAAAGGAAAAACGTAAAAATCTAAGACAACAAAAAAGAAAAGATGGAAAAATTACAAGGAATGGAGGGAGTAGTTCTTTCTGGTCAAAGACCGACATTTCGAGAGATAAAGTAGTAAAACAAATATTAATCCTCCCTCCCATACTCTCCAAAACCCTGAACGAAACAAGTCATAAGGGTGGGTCTGTTTGAATGTCGAGTTTTGGAGTGGAGTGCTTGGTCTATATCTTTATAGTGTTTCTAAGGAAAATTAAAAAAGATTGAGATGTTATAGTGTTATACTAGTACAACATATTATGTTATCCTTGCGATTTTTATAAATTTCAAATATATTCAAGTAATCAAGGATATACACAAAGCCCTCCAAAACATTCCCCTCCAAAACCTCTATCCAAACAAAGCCTAAATATATTCGCGAGCCACATTGCATGAGGATGAGAAGTAGATGGACGTTTAGAGAAGATAAAATGTCCAGCACACTTTTTCTTTCTTTTTCAGGAAAAGGGAGCAAACAGGTTCAACTCAAGAATGTTGGATTACATTATCCTTATGACTTCATAAGATGCATATAAATTTTGACACTCTGCTACTTGCCCCCACATATAAACTAGGATTTTTTTAGTGGCGGATAAGTTATTGAATTTACCACTAACTTATTTCCAAGAGGCGCTATGCGGGCAATAAACAAGATCAACTGACTAAAGGCCAAGGCGGGGATCAGAGTATCAAACTAGAACAAGTGTGGCATAGAAAATATAATGCGAAGTACTTCTATAAATATATTTTTCTCTAACATTGTATGACTTGAATTATGTCTATTGTTTGAGAAAAAAATGTTTTTTTAAAATAATAATATGAATTATCTGCAAACAATGTCAAAATGTCAAAATTGATGTCAAAATGTCAACAAATATATTGTAAAACCATATCATTTTGATCATATAAGTTAAATAAAATATTTTAAACTGCTCAAAATTAGGCAACATGTCACATCGAAGTGTAGTTTCTAAGAAGGTTCACCTACGCCTTTTATGACATAGATTCGAGACACAATAGGAATATAGGCAACCACTCTCTATCCTCTTCCACAGTAAATAAAATGAAAATAAAGGCGGCATCTATGGCCTCAAGGGCTGACCTAACATTACATAGCAGCCTGGTAGCCTAGAAACAGGCCTACACCTGCCTAGAGCTCAGTTACATGATATTTTACATGAACTACTTATAAGCTATGTAGCATGGAAACTCTCGGGAAAGAGCACGTTCCCGTTTCGGAAACTCCCGGAAACTCTTTGGAAACTCTCCAAATAAGCCTTTTTTGTGCAAAAGATGACGTTTCCCGTTTCCCGTTTCCTCATGATTTTCGCGTTTCCGTGCAACATAGCTTATAAGTATAGACTATTTTTTTTGCGAGGTATAAGTATAGACTATAGACAGTGAAGAACCAAATCCAAACAAATCATTTGAAAACTGCCAGCAAAAGTGCAGATTCATGAGTCATGACACAACTGAAAAAAGCTATATAAGCACATACATAGTATGACATATACATACTTGAGAGTAATACAAATTTCACTAGAAATGTGGCAAAACACATCATATAAGATACTTTAAATTATATCAGGAACACACAAACACAAACTCACCTCACCCATTTCAGATTTCCCTCCAGGCTTGGCATGAATTCTACCGACCATTTGACTAAGCATCACATCAAACTGTGGATCTCGTTCTTCAAGAATATTCTTGGGATTGGCTTTTGGAGTGTTCTCTAGTATGAAAAAAAATTACTTGTGTATTTAAAGAAAAATATATACACATGTAGAAATATAATTCACCATAGTTTTAGAACATTATGCTTCAGTCAGCTTTACCAATCGCTATATGTTTAGATCAATTACTGCTTTGTATATTCATTGTAATAGTGTTCAAAATTAAGGTTTTAAGTTCAAAGACATTTCAATAAAAAAAAATAGTTATGTTATTGCATGGTCATAGTAACATGTGAAAATCAATATTTTGGCCCCTCAATGATTCCACCTGTCGCAATGTAGTCCTTCAGGTTGCTGGAAAAGTTGTCAGTTTTTGTCTTTAGGATTTATAATGGGGCATTTCATATGTTTGCTTCCATCCCTGTATTACACTTACCCCTTAATCTATTGCATCATGCCTTCCATCCCCATATTCAATTTTACCAAACCACCATAGTAAACCTTAAAGGCAAACCACATAAGCCTTATGCAATGCTGCTAGACAATTGAGAGACTAAACTTTATAAAGAGGGACTACACACAGAGGAGGGATCAAAATGATAATTTCACTAAAGTTCTTGTAGACCCTATAACCTTAAATGATACGTAGTGTTTAAAATGAAAGTGGACAGTTTTAAGAAGCCGATGTCAATGGTACTTCAGTAGTTCAAACATCATGTTACTCTAATGCAAGTCATAATGTAAGTCTCCAAAATATGATTAATGTCAGGATGGATTTATTCTTTTTAAAAGGATGGGATGGAATATTCATTTAGTGAGCAAGTTTAACTTGACAGAGTAAAAGCCATACAAAAGATGTTACTGATCAACGACAAATTATTTTAACACAACAGAGAATAATGTCTAAATTTCCATAATTTGCAATGGAGCCAAAGACTCACTATTTTTTGGTTTGAAAATATGATGGAATAAAGCAAAATGGCTCACTAAAATGTCTACAATTCACTGTTATAAAGCAACAGTCAATCCATGCAATTTCTCTACGCGATTTTCACTATGGGTCATCCGGAAACTCTCTACTTACAGGTGTAAGACTACGTACATCCGACCCCCTTACCCCGCCGAAAGTGGGAGCCTTTGCGGCACTGGGGTAATGATGATGAGAGAATAATGTCCTAGATGATTGCAGGGATATGGATTTGGCAGACCAACTCCAGGGTGAACTAGTGAATTAACTCCACTGAATTGCGAACAAAAGGGACTTACTTGATCTGCAGTATATAAAATCTAAAGAAGCCATTTTAAGCTAAATTCAATGCCATATGCAGAATTAATGCTATTTGATGTAAACTTAACAATTTGAGCATTCTAAACCTTTTGATGAAAATTGATCAAAAATCTTGAAACATCAAAAGCATTCAAGCTCATTGCTTTAATTACTTACCAGCTCCATGGACGACATCTTTGCCAGAAATAATTTCCGGTGAAGGCAGCGGCGGTCTCTCAATGGGGTTCTTCAGCTGCGAAGACGGCGTTTCGACTCTTCCAATCCTTCCAGCTGCTCGACGAAATGCCTGACCCATCTCCTCTCTCTAGCTCTAATTATCTATGTATGTATCTCAATACAGTTATACAGGTTCTACTATATTCAGAGCCCTAGCCTTGGAACCTTGGATTAAGATGTTACAGATTCTTCAATCCCGGATAAGGATGATTTTCTTACAAGGAGTATTTATTTATTTTATTCTTCCCCAGAATGTAGTGGAATATAGAAACATGAATAACTGAAGGTGGTGTTTAAAGACCGAAAGCAAAATACAGAGCTTTCACGACTCCACGTCAAACACTCCCTAACAAGGAGTATTTGCAACTGCTTCTGCTTAAAAAAAAAAGCACTTTTGGAGATGTAAGGAAAAAATGATTAATAGGAAAAGTTGATAATGTTTGAGAAAAAGTGATTTTGAAAAGTAAAAGTTGATAGTGTTTGGTGAAATAAGTGTTTTTTGTGTAATAGAAAGGGGAAAAACACATTTCACACGCAAGCCGAGAAAAAGCAAAAATTAGTAGTGTTTGATAAATAAGTGCTTTTTAAGCCAAAAGCTGAGAAGTGCTTTTTTTAAGTGATTGCAAACACTCCCTTAATGTTATTTGATGGAGGCACACAAAATGTTTACATAAAATGTGTACACATTAGTGGCAGAGTCACATATATTCTAAAGTGTTCATATGAACACCCAAAATTTTGTAAAACAATTAAGTATATATCTATAAATTTATTATAATTATTTACTACTATTAAAAATTCTAGTTATGGAAAAGCATTGAACTCCCAAAATTTGAGTTCCAAATCCGCCACTGGTACACATGTCTGTCATTTACAGAAATTTTGTCTGAAAAATTTCTGTGAAGGACAGACATGTGTACAAATTTTGTATACTTCAAACATTTTGCATTATAGGATATTCCTAGTTTCCTACAAGTTCCCACTGTGACTTGAATAAAATTTAGTGGAAAGTTAAAGTGAGTAGTTGAATTTCCAATAATATCCATACTTTATGTCAAGTCAAGTAAAAAGTAAGAGTAATTTTGATATTTTCGATTGAAAAGTTACTTTTTATGAAAAAAGAAAGTTTATTTTGAAACACTAGTATAAGGAAAGTGGGAAATTGTTTTAAAGACGGAGGTAGTATATGTTAATTCGGGGTGAATTCAAACTATTTCCATCATAAATGGTTCCAGTGGCGGAGCCAGGAATGTCAAGTTACAGGGGCCGGGGCTTAAGGAATTTATATAGCCGGGGCCAATACTTAAATTTTCACTATATTTGTTACTACTTATAAATATTTTTTACTATATTTATACATCAAAAAAATTCTTGCAGGGGCCACGGCCACCGCCAGCCACCCCTGTCTCCACCCCTGAATGGTTCTATCCTGGTTGGACGATAGAAGAGTCACTTGAGAGGAAGAGTGATGAAGGGAAAATTAAGGGTACCGATTAAGATATTAAATGGGCATTCATTTGAGTTCCTCCCAATTTACTCTTGTATGTTTGCTAGTTTGAATTATTTATACAATTGTATAAAACTCTCAATATGGATATAATTGCAGATTAAATTTCCGAAAGCAAAGATTATTCTGATGAACTTCGCCTAATAATAACAACAACAACAATAATACTACGTAATAAAAATAATACTTCCTCCGTCCCGAAAAAGTTCGCCAATTTTGACTTTCACGTGGATTAATAAAGTAAAAATTGTGTGGTTGAAATTTGTGTAGAGGAGAAAGAATTAATTTTAGCCACATATTCATTACTTTAAATGGAAATGGCAAATCTTTTTGAGACATCCAAACAAGGAAATTTGGCAAACCTTTTCGGGACGGATGGAGTAATATAATAATGAGGGAAAATAATTGTGGAAAATCCTCGACCCGTACTATATAAAAACTCTCAAATAGATATATGCTTCATGTACCGGTTGCTTTGGATATATGCTTCATTGATATTGATAGAGTATATGGAGAAGCTATTAGATATATTATTGAATATATTGTTCGAGCTATTTATCCGACCATACATAAGTTGATAAGGTCAACGATTATATGTTGGGTCTGGTAGATTCGTAGACCCAAAGTTAACAACTTCTCTAAGCTCAGATTCACTTTCCTCATCTAGCTCAGCTAGCGACCTTTTATACGAAATACATTCTCCTGAATTTCTTAATAGCATTACAATGTTCAAGTTTGCCGGCTTATTAGCTAAATTTGAAAGTAGGGTTCCTGTGATCCTTTTCATGAATATACATTATTCATCTAATTATGCAATGGCACACGATTTTCCAGTGAATAAACTTGTAGTTCATATTATCAAGGCTCAGATGATGCACATAGAAAATACTGGTGAAAAGTTTCTTATTCCTTGACGGTAACACCATTAGTTGTTATGCTCTCATTCACTTTTCAACATAAAAAAATCAAATTAATGATTAGCTATGCAATGATTATTGTGATTGTCTTAGTCAAGTTGTATGGTGGTTGTAGGGGTGCCTAGGATGGTCTGAGGCGTGACAATGAGTGTCCTGCGAAATATGAATGTACTTCAGAACAGAAGAGTCAAATGTTAAAGAATAGAAACTAGAATCCTACATACTCAAAGAGACCATTGAAGTCAATATGAAATTAGAAGAGTCCCGTTACACATGATAGTCTTGTTACTTAAAAGTTAAAACAAAGAAAGTGAATCACTAAATGATAAGGAATTGACTTGACCACAATTAACAAAGTTGACAAGCTTAGTAAACCTTGTTGATAAATAATAGGGCATTCAAACTATAATTAAGGAGAGTTTTGAGCCAAGTATGAATGCAGTAGGGTTTACAAGGTACATAGGAAAATATGGGTCGGGCTGCTAATATGGACCAAAAATTATGAATGAACTAGACTTGATGAAGAACATACAAAAAAATTCAGCAAAACATACCACCGGGAACCGCCTCAAATTGAGGTGGCCAGACCACCCTCCTATCCGGCCTGACCGGATTGGAATACTACTCTATAAAAGATATCTACCGAACGCACGCACGTGGGCCTTTGTCCAAGCCCAATAGTGTGATACCGGGGTCGGGGTCCGTATACTCAATAGTAGTACCTCACTCCATGAGATGAGAATACTCGAGGCAAAAAGGAACAAAGTTATGTGCTGGCCTTCCACGTAATAGTGTGATCGATGCTAGTGTGATCTTGTTAAAAAATAAATTTTGAGATTTTCTAGTTCATGATGACGCAAAGTCCTTCGTTCCTCCAGCCCCCCCCCCCCCCCCACACACACACACACTTGAGGCGATCATAGTGACATGAAGAGGAGTAGAGTACTGAATGCCTCGTAATGAATCATCTAAGGGGCGAGGGCCATCGTCTTTTGTCCACAAGTGGGAGATGCCTCATTAATTAAAAACCACATTAGAAAAAACAACCAGTGGGGAAAAATCCTAACGAGGGAAAAAGAATATATTTCATGCCCACAAAATGAAGTAAAAAGGTGAGCCCTTCGACCGATGTAACAGTCATTTTCTACTAAGGGAGTGGTTGAGACCGGTCTTCTTATGTGAGAAATGATCATCTTATGTGTCCGGTCTGGCTTGCCTCTAGCCTCATCTTTGTCTAATATGTAGTCTTAGTTCTCAAAAAAAGATGACTAGGATAAATGTGATTTGTGAGCTAGTATGAACTCTAAACAATCAAATAAGATGAATATATTAGCGGAGACGATCAATGGGTTGATATGATAGTCCCATTTACTTACACATACATACAAATAAAATTGTAATTCTAGAGATTGGAGTTTGGTGTTTAGATTTGGGCCTAAGTTGGCCTCAAATTTCCAAACTTGAGCTCAAGGTATATGTGAGTTATGTCTTATGAATGAGTTATGTCTTACAAGCTAAGGTATATATATGACAAAGGAATTGTTTTAAAGGTGTACAACTAAGAACAAGAAGCGCTTAAGAAGACATATCCAATAAAAAGAAAGCGGAAAATACTAATTAATCGTCTGACATTTTCACACATACATTTTTTTCCACTTACCAAAATAATGATTTAGTCAGTTAATCGATCAATGAAATGGTCGACTGCACTAAAACTAAGGACTCGTATGTAGTATGTTTACACAATCAAACTGTATATTGTCTCTTGGCTTTTCACACTAAATCAAACTGTATATTGAGTAACTTTTGTTCTAAGCATGAGATACTACCAATCCTTACAAACATCTCCCCCTTATAAATACATATTTTCTAAACGGTAAAAATTACAAGTTTTATATACAAAGAGGTCAAGACATTTACTTCTATATGGGACCACCAGTCCACCAATGTGTAACTAATAAGTTGAGTTTAATTTGTTATTGTTGTCAGTGGTAGTGTTCATTACCTTGATTAAACATACACATGTAGAGAAATTAAGAAGTGGGATTCATATGTTTCGTGGGTAAGTTCTAAGGAAATAGTATACCATCAAGATTATATCATTAATGTGTCTCACACACATTGAACAGACCACCATTAAGAGAAAGTGTCATTCTATGTATATTGCATAAGACCACCATTACAAAACTACCAATTTAGAGAATTTATTTGCTATATAATTAGAAAAGTTTGCCCCTTATAATTTTATGACACCAATATGCCTTAAAAATATGAGTATCCTATTACAATCGAGACATGATGCTCATCTCTCCGACCAGTTCCAAAGAAACTCTAATCTGACACCTGCCAAAGTTATCTCAAAAATAGAATGCACGAATTGTAGCATTGCAACTGAAAGACGATGTTGATAGCACACCCCATGAGTTATACACGGATTTATCATGAGCTTGAGTTACCAGATCAAGCACTATGGGCCAACAGGCAAACTATAGCCTGATCTAATTGCCTTCAAAGCTAGATCAGGAGTATTTACCCCATAATACGAAGTATATAATGGTAAAGATTGAAGTGTATAAACTACAAATTAATATAGGATTGTTAAAATAATTGAGGCTTATCTAAGCCTATTTAATACAAGGGACTAAAATTTAAAGAGTTGACAAATTTGAAAGCCGATTTTGGACAAGTCAATTGTATGAGCAACTCAAAGACTAATGAGAATGCATTTCAATTTGATTGTACTCACTTCTATTCAGTATTTTTTTATAATCACTTCTATTCAGTTCTAAACACTACTAATCGGACACATTGATTTACACAAAAGAGGCTTTTCACAAATTTGCTACTTGTACACACTTTTATACACACCGTCTGTGAGAATGGCTTTTTTGTCGGTGAAGCTCTTTCATAGACAAACAAAACCATCTCACACACGTGTGTATAAAAGTGTGTACAAGTGTGTACAAATAGAATATTTATTCTTTTTATTTCTTTTTCCCCAACCAAAACTAATCCATTTAGGAGTTAGAAACCATGGGAGATTGGAGTACACAAAGTATTTTCCCAGTCATTGTGCATAGGGTTGTATACGAACCGAATCGAGTCGAATAGTAGGATTTTGTATTTGTATTTGTTTAATTTTTTCGAATACGAATTCGAATTCAAATATAAAACGAATATTAATTTTGATTTGTATTTGTATTTGTTTAATAATACGAATAATTAACGAATCTTATACGAATATCGAATAGATTTGAGCATAGGTTAAATATTAGTCAAATATCACTTTAAAATAAATTTTTATTATATTTTTTTATGTTGTAAATGTACGCTATGACTTTAGTGCTGGACTCGGGCCGGGCGGCCCGGCCCGGAACCGGCCCGGCCCGGTTACTGTTTGGCCCGGCCCGGCCCGGGGCCCGGTGGGTCCACCGGTTCGGTTCGGCCCGGCCCGGCTGCTGGGCGGTTCGGGCTCGGGCCCTTTTTTTGGTGAACCGGCCCGGCCGGTTCGGGCCCGGTTCGGGCCGGTTTTTAATTTTTTTTTTTTGAATTTTTTTTAAGTTTTGGGTTGGATTAGGTATTTTGGGCCATTTGAGGTGGTTTGGGGTGGTTTGGAGTTGAGGGGGAGGGGTTGGGGGTTAAATAGAAGAGCCAAAAAAAAAATAACCGGTTAGGCCCGGCCCGGCCCGGCCCGGTTTGGCCCGGAACCGGAACCGGAACCGCCCACCGGCGGTTCGGGCTCGGGCCCAACTTTCCTGGCCCGAGGCCCGGCCGGGCCCAGGCCCGAGTCCAGCACTATATGACTTAAAATGTGTTTTTAGAATTTAAATTCAATGGATCAATGTAGTTTTGATTGTGCACGATATACTTAAACGAATCAATTTTATGATTAACAAATATAAATCTATTTCAAACTTTTTGAAATAAACACTAACACACATGTTAGAAATTATACTTATAATGTGTGAAATAAGTTGATAATTATATATATCAAAGTCAAACGACTCTAATTTTATTCTGTGAATCAAATACATAATTATTTGTATTGTATTTGAAAGACATTTGAACAAAAAAAACCAATTTGTATTCGTATTTATACTCTGACTTGTTACAAATGGACTTAGAATCTATATGCATAAATGCATACATGAACTACACTTTAGACTTTAGAGTATTGCTATCTTTTAAAAGTTATTATAGTGTTATTACTATTATTATTGTTATTATTAATATTATCACTATTATTAATCGAATATATTTGATTAATATTCGAATCGAATACACTGATATTCTTATTTGTATATGATAACAACTCGAATCAAATTTAATATTCATATTTGTATTTGTATTTGAATTTTTTGAATTCAAATCATCTTATAAGAATTCGAATCGCGAATCGAACACAAATTATTTGATTCATTTACAACCCTAATTTTGTGCATATCATCATTAACAAATGGGGTCTCACAGAATACATTTGAATTGCTATAGCTATATTTAATTTCTATAAAATCAACACGTTTCCGCTCTGTCATGGAGATACAAACAAAAACAACTATGGAGGAAATCTAAAACCGATGTAATATATACATCCACTATCTCCAGAACTGAACTAAGTCGCACATTCATATGCTGTAGGTGAGTTGCATAACACTATCAACAAGGAAAGCAACAGACCGAAAAAAAAAAGATAAAATGCACAAGATGGATGAGAATAAACGAATCCTTGGGGCTCACTTCCAGCAACAAGATATCAACAAAGATTATACAGCAACAATTAGCTCATTCATTTGTCTTCACCTTGTTAGAGGAGCAGCTTGACAAAAATAAGAATCATACCTACAGAAAATACACTATCCCAGAACATCATGTCTCAATCAATCACCAAGTCTCGCAATTTGTAATCTTAATGCAAACTTTCTGCAAAATTGATGAAGTACCCAAACCAAATTCTCTCCCTAATAGCAGATATAACAAATAAATGTATGATGGGTAGAAAGAAACACTTACAATATAGCTGCAACCAGTTTTAATCGCTGAATAGGAGAGAACACTGTTCACAAATTCAGAGGCCTGTGATGCTTCCTCCATTTCCGTTTGGTGGAGGCTTGAATTTGCCGAACACATCATTTCTTTCCTTATTGCAAACATGATCCTTTTCTTCTTCCATCTTGGAAACTTGAGAGTTATTGCCAAGCCCAACAGTCTTTGTTTTTCCATGGTCTTGTTGTGAGCCAATGACTTCTTTATTCTTCTGCCTTTTGTTTACAGTCAAGAACCCATTGGCAAAAGCTTCCAGTACCCTTGTAGTTGGAGGACGGGTTCTAGTGCTATGCCTCCTTCCAGGATGCTGCTGATCAGAAGAAGTATTGACGCTGCTTAACACCTTCTGTTCAAAGTGACTTTCAGGTTTATTTAGGCTATCAGTTTGATCTTCAGTGATATCTATTACAGAGAGTCCATTTTCGGAATCTGACGAGACTGGGAGCACATTAAGATCGATTAAGATCCTTGGTTGATGTTCAGCAGGAGACACTTCTGCAAAAGAAGAACTATTAACAGGTACACGTTCAATGTTCATAGAAGGGCTACTTTTTGATGAAATAGTTGTTGAAATTTTGTCATGAAGGGATCCCATCTGCAAAGCATTGTTTGCAGGCATGGTATTCATGCTTGAACTGCAACTGGACATTGCCACCTCCCCTCTAGAAACACAACCTATATTTCTTGTCGCAGTGCGATTACAAGCAGATAGTCGCCGAGAACGTTTGGAAACAGGGACTATATTGTTTACATAATCTTTTCTTACTCTATGGCTGATACAGGGCTTCACTTCCACCACTTCTATTGACTTGGCATCATCAGAAAGATCTTCATTATTCAAGACATTGCTTCCATGGACCTCTTGGCTTCTGAAATGTGATATTTTCAGGTTCTTAGTGCCAATTTCAAGATCAATCCTGCCAGGAGATGTTTCCCCACTATGTAAGCTTGTATTGGATCCAAAACGAATTGGCTCACTTTGATCAAGGGAAATGGGATTAATAGAATCAGGACCAGTAGACACTTTATTATTGTCCTTTGAAGTATCTCCAAAATTACTTTGAAGGCACAGTTTCTTTGAAACTTCTAATGGCAAGCTTCTAAAATCCCTCACTTTGTAGGGTTTAGAATTACATAGGCTGGTATCAACGACTGTAAATTTCATGTCATCAGATTGATTAGGAGTTCTCGGTTGAAGATACGAGTGGCTTCTTATTATAGACAGATCATCAGTGTCCACCTTTGCTACACCATGCACTTTTCCTCCTTGGTTCTCGTTGCCATCTTGATCTTCTGAATCTAGGTCAAGCAATTTAGGTTCAGAAGCAACTTTGGCCAGAACATCTGTAACAGAGTCAAAATAGTGGGTCCCCTTGATGAATTTCCGAGAAAACTTTTTAACATCAGGCATAAGAAAAACCAAACCCTGCTTGGAGCTAGCAGCATAAGCTGTATTTTTAGGTTGCTCAGAATGCCAACCTCTTGCCAGTAAACGTGGCCAGACAGCTTCCCAAAACAAATCATTAGACCGTGTTTTGCTCAGCCGATGACCTCCAGTGAGATATTTGATAATTTCGGTGGGAGTAAGAGAGGAGCAAGCTTTGCCAGTAGGTACCTCCGAACGCATGGTTAAGGCATGACTGGACCTTGTATGTTCTAAGGCTACATTTGTGAGGTCTTGTTTTCCTTTGCCTATTCCAACTGCTTCTATAAGAGTGTTTATCCCAACCATACACTTCAAAGTAAAGACATATTCTTCCAAACGTACCTTTCCCTCCCCAAATCTTCTGGAAATCTATAAAATGACAAGATATCAGAAACAGCTTCCAGAAGAGATTTATAGCTAAGAAATATTCTTGCAAGCGTTGATTAGTCAAAATGGAACAAGCACTAAATAAAATAAGACAAAGGAGAACCATGAGGCGCTATAAAATGACAAGATTTCAGAAACAGCTTCCAAAAGAGATATATAGCTAAGAAGTATTCTTGCAAGGGTTGATTAGTCAAAATGGAACAAGTACTAAATGAAATAAGACAATGGAGAACCATGAAGCGCTATAAAATGACAAGATATCAGAAACAGCTTCCAAAAGAGATATATAGCTCAGAAGTATTCTTGCAAGCGTTGATTAGTCAAAATGAAACAAACACTAACTGAAATAAGACAAAGGAGAACCATGAAACGCTACAAGCTATTTTATTTTCAAACACAAAATGCAAAATGGAATGGAAAGAGAAATATCCTAGATGCCTCCTGGATGTAAATTGCATTCTTGGTTCACGAGTCCTACTCAACAAATTCATACCATTGAGTAGGGCAAGAGAAAACGCTGCAATATAAAGACAACAATTTTAGAAGGTGAATGCCTTCAATACATGTAAACTTACTGAGTGTGCTTTAATCCATGCCACTGAGTGTGCTTTAATCCATTCTTCCTCTTTAGTACAATGGATGCAAGGTAAAGCCAATGGATGTTCTAGATAACAACAATCTAGATTGACAACAATCTACTCCTAATTCCGCTTTAATCCATTCTTCCATTCTTCCTATTCAGTAGATTGACAACAATCTACTCCTAATGTTCACTGGATAAACTACTATGCAAGGTATCAATGGATGCAAGGATAAAAAAATAAGAATTGAATGCATTAAAGCCATTTTATTTTAAGTACACCAAAAAGGGGGAAAACAGATTTATAAAAACATTAGAAGTAAATATTCCATTTTTCAATCAATCCTAATGAATAATAGTATTGATTGCTGATTCAACTTATTCCTTTTTTGCCTAATTAACAGGAAGAAAAGGCAATTGGCTAAAATACTATATATGTAAGTAAACGAAGTAGTTAGCTAAAAGGCTTAGTCTGACAAAGGAATCAGTGAGACTAACATGCTCTAAACCCAGGAAACAAAACCAACACACTTCACACATAGCAGATATGGACGCCACACAGACACATACTACTTTACTAAAAGGTTCCACTCATGGAATTTGGCCTTCTGCTCACATATAATGATAGCAATGGTACTACAAAAGCTTGTGAGCGCACAAAAGAGAACACCAGTTATCCTACAACAGAAATTTTACTATTTTATCATGAAAAAATACCTCCGATAATTCATTTCGGCGATCTGCTGACATGTTGGGAAGTAAGCGAGATAACAGTTCCTGCAGCCTTGATCCAATAAACAGTTTTTGCCCGTAAACACACTTCCGGCTTTTGACTTTTCGACCGTCAGACCATCTACGGTACTCATCAGATCTATAAAACTCCCCATAATAATATGACATTATGTCACATGTCCTTTTCGTTTGAAGGAACCTTTTCAAGTGAGCAAAGTTTTTCTCAAATACATAGAGACCAAGAAGAAAAGTTTTCTTCTCAATATTGGTCAATGGATCAACATCGCCATCTGGAACTAAACAGGAGTCTGGGCATTCCCCTTTTGGCTGTTTCTCATCAATGGACATATTTTCTAATTTTCCATCATCCAAGATACTATCCAGTCTTTTGTTTGTCCTTCTTCCCTGGTTTGCCCACCTTAAAGGTATATGCAATCCAACATATGAATCCCAAGAGTTGTCACCATCAGTCCAAATTTGTGTATATGGTGGAATGTCAACTTGATACTCATCCCCCACTCGAGGGAGTATTAGTGGCTCCCCAGACACACCACAAGCATTACGGGAGTCAGAAGCGTGTATCTTCCCCGCAGCCATGTCGTCAATGCAACCTGCATTCAGATTTAATTGAATCAAATCCACTCAATAGAGAAAGCTAATAAAACTTTTGTATGCACAAAGGTAAACAGTTTAAAGCAAGTGAGTTTACGCGAACTAGATTCGGTAAGTTTCTTAGTTTCTTACTATGTAAAGGGACTAAAAGAATTTATGTTCTTAGACTGTTAGCAAATACTCCGTATAACCGAAATCAAAGAAAACATTACAAGCATTTTTGGAAAATTATGGAAACCATAATTGGCAAACTGAGAGCAGAACAGATCGACCGCCTTGTAAAGCTATACCAGATTAGAAGTTCATTTTTCATAATTATTCTTACATCCTCGAATCCACAGGACTGAAATAGAAGGGATATACATGAAATAAAGTTTACCTTAAACTGATGAAACAGCCTGCTCTTTTTGTTCTTTACTGTGCCAAAGAGAGCCGTCTGAGGAGTTCTTACTGATAATACATGAGTACCACCGCTTCTTGAGAATGCTTCTCACGTTTCCAACAAATGGTATCGGAAATTTTTCGTCGGTCCTTCATCTATTTATTTCTTGAGATCTGCAATAACAGAGAGATAAGAACGTAATTAAAACGCATTAATGTAATTATAAAAACAACGGATATTTTTGTTTCTTTTAAGCCATACCAGAAATGTTATTAAAGTAAAAATTAATTAAAAAAGACTAAAACACTGAAAAATCGCTTCAAATGTTTTTTGCACATCATTGACAAGAGAAGAATTAAAATGTAAATCTTGAAGCCAATTATTTCTGGATAAGGAAAGACTCGGAAATAAAGAGCATCGAGTCCATCGCCCAGAAACTAGACCATTGAATTTGCATTATACCAAAATATTAAAAAAAATGCACCGGAAGAATCAATTGCTTATAAATCATACCCACCCTAACCCCTTCCCTAAAAAAAGAAAGTTAATCTGCCATCCTACCGCAATTGATAACTTCTAAGATGACGGTAATTGTACTTCGAAGCTTTGAGCGCAAAACAAAATCTACAATTCCTGATTCCCTCTAAAACAGACAGATCCAAGTGAGAAATCACACAACAAAATGAAGATGGAAAACCAGACATAAAAAGTTGTGAGCAAAAGATGGACTCTTAACAAGCTTGGGACAATCCATCACCTAATAACAGATACTCACTGATGCCATCACAACCAGAGTACCAGATCCACTTCAAGACTCCCCCAACCTAAGTTGTGCCTAAGAGATATATGAGCATGTAGCACAAAGATGGCATGCATACTAATAATAAATACAAAGAACTAAAAACAGCCACGTATATACAAGTTATCAAGTTACGCTTTGGAAGGATCTGGCCAGCGGTGAGGCACGTGATACAAGGGGGACTGAAGGCACAGATCATGTTGTTTTCCACGCAAAGTATAAACAACTTTTTTTAAAAGGCTAATATTTACAACTCAGCTACGCCTTAATCCTAAAGTAATTTATTTCACTATGCGGATTAGATTTCTCGATTTAGATTTAACCCCTATTTATACACATAAATGCAAACTCACATCAAAATAAAATATTCCACATTGGCAAACTAATGTTATATGACATATTACAAATTGGTAATATGCATGACCTAAGGAACCAAGGAGGGGCAAGAAGTGCGTCGAAAGTTTGTACCTAGGTTCTAAGAGATCAGATCATTCAAGGTGTTGAATTTAGAGAGGGAGTAGGATTCACAAGAAAGACTTAGTTAATCCCTGTTTTACAGAGAGGTGAAGATTTTTTATATAAGCACAGTTTGTAAGATCTCAAGAACCACATGAGTAGGGAAGCAACCCTGCATATCCATGTTTTTACAACAACAAAAAACTACGATCCAGTTTGAGTAGATATGCTAAGAAACTTACATTTTATATATGAAAAATAACAAGGACATTTGAAAGTCACCTAACTTCAAAAAAAGAATGATATCTAGATTATGTCAGACTGTTAAAGTGTTAATTGTGACAAGTCTTGTATTATCACTTAACAGTTTTGGCTGTAATAGAGGGAAGTGAATGATATGAGCTGATGCATATTTTAAGTAAACAATAGCCAGACATTTTGGTTCATTATCATGCTTTAGCAGAGTCCTTAACGGGTTCTCGCAGAAAACCATCATTCGGTGAGAATGCTTTTCATGTTTCCTATTAAAATTTTCGACCTTAGTGTTTAAATTTCTTTATTTGAAAAGGTTAAACTGCTTTCTTAGTCCCTCAGTTAGGCAGTTGTAACATTTTTAGTGACTTTTTGTTAAATGTTGCAAAAGCCATCCTTGATCATAACCTTCGGTGACAGTTCTAGTTATTCACTGATAACAGCAGGGGACTAAAGTCACTACAGATAAGGAACTAAAACTGCTACCAAGAAGTATAAAGTATAACATGGATAATTTGGAAAAAGTTAACAACAAGTAACTAAATTTCTACAAATTCCTAATTGGGGAGTACAGAAACAACTACCCTATAGAAATACATAAAATATTATTAAACACCAAAAAATGATGTTTGGAAATTGAAAAAATTGTCAAGGAAAATGATCAAAGAACAACAACAACAATAATAGGTTTAACAAATGAATGCCATGTGTATCATTTAAAAGGGGGTTGAGAAATTACATTTTAGCACGCCTTCTCAAGTATGAGCATATGTATGTCATAATTAATAAAAGTACTATAACAACATCTGAGCCTTAGTCCCAAAAGATATTGGAATCGGCTAACATGAATCGATACATGATATCAGAGGTAAAAAGAAAATAAAGATAAAAACATAAGATATGATAATAAAGATAAAGAAACGATAAGATAAAGAAAAATATATGATAGAGATAAAGACAAAAATAATACTGCCTGCTCCTCTATTTAGTTAGCTGTCATTCATTTTTCTGAACAATTATAGTAAACTTTGGTTAATAGTTTTAACATCTACTCCCTCCGTCCCGAAAAGGTTGGCCAAATTTCCTTTTTTGGGTGTCCAAAAAAGATTTGCCATTTCCATTTAAAATAAGGAATATGTGGCTAAAATTAATTATCTCTCCTCAGCACAAATTTCAACCACATAGTTTTTACTTTATTAATCCACGTGAAAGTCAACTTTGGCCAACCTTTTCGGGACGGAGAGAGTATAATTTAGTGAAAATTATAAATTGTATACTTTTATGATAGTATTTTTAACAAAGAACATTTTCATATCTTTTTCATATTCTAAATACTTACATATATAAACATATTATTGGTCAAAGTCTAGCATCTTTGACTGGAAAAGTCAAAGATGGATAACTAAAAAGAAACGGAGGAAGTAAGATAAAAAATGATAAAAAGAATAAATATAAACTAAAAAGATAAAAGGATAAAGAACTTAAGAAAGATAAAAAAGATAAAATGATAAAAAAATGAAAAGATATCAGTCATTAACACGAATATTCATCCACCACTTTGCTTCTCCAAAGCCATGCTCTCATCCACCCCAAGAAGAAGCATTATGTGACTCATAAGCTTAACCCCTCAAAGGATCTTCCCATAAGAGACCCCGCATTCCATGTCCCAATGCGCAATCTAACACTACCACCTTCAATTCTTAACACCACCTCGACCCCAACCATGCCTTCACATATTTGACAACATCCCCGCGCAATAGGGCGGTGACTTAGAAACCTTAACATTTTTATCACCGCACACAGACCCATGAAGTGTGGCGCGTCCTTGCATATTTGACACTACCAAACTAAGGGATGACATATCGCTGACGTGACCTAGCCGTAGCGATATTCATATTGCGATTCAGGTCATATGATGTGACTAAGTGATACAGTTAACCGTCACGCGCCTATTACAACACCCTCCTCATTTGTCCTGGCTTAGAGAGACATGACACCAAAAATGGTCTCATAATTAAAAAAGTAAAGCAAAAAAATTCAAACACAATCTACAAAAGCCTTTACTCGAAACTCGGAAAATGGCTTATTAATAACTAAATAGCACCTGAAAGTGAATAAGAAAGGCAGAACCGAAGTTCCCTGAGAAATAAATCCTACATAGCAACCCTGGATAGTCTCGAGAGATAAATATAGTGGTGTATTTATTTGAAGGATAAGTGTATTTACATAAGTGTCAAAGGAAAATGCTTTCGACATACAACACGGCAAGAGAAACAAATATAATTATGTCGAAAAATAAGTTTTATCTGAATGATGATGGTGTATGAGGCATATGTTTAAGTCAATGTTGTTGGAAAACCTTCACATCTCATTCCTGGGGCAGTAAAAGACTGTAATATCTTTTACAAAAACTCACATAAAAGGTCATTGAAGGTGGCATCATGGGTCAAATGCCTGTCAGAGATTTGTGACATGTGGAATGTGTATGACAGTGGCTCAATACCAAATGTTAGAGATAGGGCCAAGGGCCGCCTAAAAGAGAGGAAAACGATGGTTCTAGTAGTGATGAGGCAAGTACATCGTTAGAGAAGGTGATCAATGCTGAAAACTAAGGGAGAACCAGGCAAGAATGGGCATGTGGAAGGAAGGCATATTGGCCTACAATTCACATACCAAAGCTAGGATGACAAGGCAAGCTTGATAAAAGATTAAACAAATGGTCATGAGTCATGACATTAAAACGAAAAATATGTAGTATGAGTTTCAAAGGTTTATAGCTCTGACATAATGTTGAAATTGAGGGGTTCAAGGTGTGGCTGGTAGTACCACACAACAACATCCAAGCCTTAATCCCAAAAGATTTTGGGGTCGGCTAATATGAATCGATCCATGATATCAATGCCAAAAAGAGAAGACAGACAAGAAAAAAAAGGATAAAACAAATAAGCTAAAGATAAATAAATATAAGATAACAATAACATAAGAATATAAGAAAGATAAAAGATAAAAGAGTATTTAAAAAAAAGCTAGAAGATAAACATAACATAAGAACATAAAAAGACAAAGAAGATAAACGATCAAAGAAAAAAAGGAGAGAGGAAAAATAAAAAAGAGATCAATCGTCCACACGAATGTGCGCCCTACACTTTGCCCTTTCCAGATCCATACTCTCATCAAACCCAAGAAGATGCATATCAGTTCTGATTCCTCTGATTTCTCTGTGTGGCTGGTAGTACCGAAAGAAAATTTTCCAACAAGGCAGAAACTACTTCGTCCCAAGACTATGTTCCTCATTACATTATTAGGATATTCCAAAAAGAAGTACCCATTTATACACAAAGAAATTTTTAGATAGGCAAACGCCACAAACTCTTACTTTTTGTTTAACTTTTCTCACTTTGACATAAAGTAAGGGTATACTTGGAAAGTCAAAGAAAAAAATGCATTGCATATATATGTGAATGGTTCAAACCGGGAACTTGCTTGTGGGATGGTGGTAGTATATAGCTATAAAAAATATTATATTTATAGTAACCATGTGTAACGATCCCACACCGGTCAAGTATGGGCTTGACTGGTGGCTTATAAGCAAGAAGTTCCCTCCTCCTAATTGGTCGGTCTTTTAGGAGTGAGTTCTACATTTGGGCTTATGGCACTGCTATGGGCGTAGTATGGGCTAGGTCTGTAACAATTGGTATCAGAGTCATCCCCATCTTCCTAGTCCCGACACTCGGAGTGGTGGCCTATGGAGTGGTGGCTTGGACCCTGGGGGGTGCCAACTGTGACCAACATAGCCGTGACCAACGAGGACGTTGGCTTTTTGAAGCTTGAGGTATAGTAACGATCTCACACCAGTCAAGTATGGGCTTGACGGGGTGGCTTATAAGCAAGGTGTTCCCTCCTCCTAATCGGCCAGTCTTTTAGGAGTGAGTTCTACATCTGGGCTTATGGCACTGCTATGGGCCTAGTATGGGCTAGGTCCGTAACACCATGGTGCAATGTGTACCCTAATAATGATAAAAATGCTTATATAGGTACATCATGAATCACATACTAGGCTAGAACTACAATAAGATCTCCCTATTTTCACACATATGAATACAACTTGGTTTTAAAAAAACAACTAAAATTGTAGTGAATATCATTTTGCATTTTGGTTTATTGTTGCCTATCTACCCAATTAGAGTATCTCCTTGAAATTAACTCTGAACTTTCATGTAGTCCTTCATTCCATCAACTTGCGGGAGATTTGCAGTGATCCCCCTAAAATAGATATCCGCCTAGATTTCAAGACTGGGAGTACCACAATGGTGCTTAAAGAAACACAAGAGGATCTAAAGAACAGAAGACCAACTAAAACAAGGACATTTAGATATACATTGACAAACCTTTATGCATATAAGCATGAAGTACAAGTTCAAAAAGAAATTGAAAAGGTACTCAAAAAAGGGCAGTAAGATGAGAAAATAGGACTTGGAGAATAAGTTGGAAAAAAGTAAAATGCTTAAACAGAGCAAACAGAAAAGAGGGATATACCACAATATGAGTAAGTATTGTGCTAAATGTATGTGTATGTTATTGCAGATAAGACGAAAGTGAACGGGGAACGGCTAAGAAGTTTGTACAATGTTCTTAGAGAGGAAAAACTTCATTGGCTTGCAGTGAGAGAGAGAGAGAGAAGAGTGGTGGTAAACAATACTTTCTTGAGATTATGAGAAAGAGAGCTAGTAAACCTTATTTATACAAATGTGTTGAAAATCATAAACACATGATTGAAAGACATGCCACTGTTTTTATTCTCTATTATGCTGAAGCTGAGTCCACAAAAGAATTCTTACCAAGATGCTTCAATGTCAAATATAGTCTCTTCAGTCATATTTCCTACTAAATTTCATAATTCATATCATGAAAAAGATGCTACTTTATCTATTTAAAGCATATTTGTACAATCATCCATATCCAAAATTTGTCGAACACACAAAAATTTCCTTCAGTTCTTTCAAAACAAATAACATGCATGTTGGTACATTTTTATAAAAAATACCTGCTCTATCCTGAAAATGATTATGTGAGAAGCCTTACTTGATTGAGGCTATTTCCATTTAACTTTCTGTAATATTCAATTTACTTTTAGTGAGTAGAAATGAATTATTGTAAAAAAAATGCTCTACTATAGGCAAAATTGAACTTCAAATAAAAAAAAAATGGAGCTGATTTGAGTAGTGATCAATATATGTATCACACAAAGTGAGACAAAAGGAGCATAAAAATTTCATATGCAACACAGTTTTGAGAACAAGCTGAAAAAAGAAGGAAAATAACAAAAAAAAAACTAAAAGCTAGCATAATATCCCCAGAAAACTATACAAGTGAATATAGAGGTCCTTAAGCAGGAATAAATTTACCATTGATTGAAAAGTAAAAGCAGCACAACAAATAAAATAAAATAAAATAAAATTACTCTTTGCCCATCTAAAAAATAAGTCAAAATTATAGGTGTTGAAAAGTCCATTCATACCAAATTTTACTTATGAATAGAAAATCTCTATGTAATCTCTCGTAGGTTTTAAGTATTCAATTGTGTGAAAATTCAATATTAAATAAGAAATACTCTTGAACAATCAGCTTAGGTGGTCACCTAGGCACCCTCACGTAAAGGAAAAAGATAAGAATAGGTCTTACTAAGTGCTTCCTCAACTACACACCTAGTAAGCAGTGTTTTAATGATTTGTACTCCAATTTTTACAAGGTGTTAAACATAAATGGCAACAATATATTCTGCTCAATATAATTTCTTGATTAGGCCATTAATTGAACCAGGTGTTTACTGTGACCTATACATTCATAACATTTCTAAGGGCATGGACCTATGGAATGCAGAAATAGACTTGAATGCTCAAGGAGCACCAAGCAATCAGTGCTTCAACAATTTGTGCATTTTGAGGGCTCTTAACAACTTGAAGGCTTAGTAAATGCATAAATGGCACAGCTTAGTGCTCCTGATCAGTAAAGTTTTTTAGGCTGGGCACTCAGGCACTAACTTGGCACCCAACAGGCTCCTATTGGTTTCTTCTACATTTCCAAAAAGATATGAAGTGTTTAGTGGTTTATTTTTAATGTAAAAAAGAAACCAGTTTGCCTTATATAAAGCCACTTATGATGCATATATATAGGCACACATATGCACACTATCTCTCTCTGATATGTTAATGTATTTGTTACATTTTGCAGATATAAATGAATACAATAAGCTTCCTTGTGTTGGTTGTATAACTTCAACATTTACACTACCTATTATTAATTGGTTGAAAGGTGCTCATGAGCATCACATTGAGTCATATATTTAAAAAATACAAAAATAATGCATTAAAATTAATAGTTAAAACATACTGTCCTAATCAATCACGGAGTATAATTTATAATTTTTTATTGCATCAGATATTCGTCCAAAAAAAGATGTCTTATATCAAGGGCTTAGTTTGTTCTGAAACACTAATATATTAAGTAACAAAAAATATACCATAGTTGGAAAATTTTAGAACAGCACTATCTGAAATTAAAAACTAAAAACACAAATAAAAATGAAAACGAGTGGTAATTTGTTGAACCTATAACAGAACTATAACAGCGCAGATCCAGTGTCCAACAAAAACAAACAGCAAACTAGAAAGAACACCACAAACTCCACAGAGAGACCCGCTCACATAAATCCTAGCAAAGCAATGCAAAAACACAAATCAAGAACCTCATCTGGAGACACTGGAAAAGAAAATACAGAACCAACAAAAACTGGAACAATGTATATTACATAATGCATAAATATCTAACCAACCCCCTAAGCCATCGCCATACTGAAAATTTCCAAATGCGATCCCACCAAAACCAAAGTCCCCAAAGACTCCCGTTTCCACTGACTCAGTCGTGTTTCACAAGCAAAAAAAGGACCCATTGCTATGCACAAACATATACGCAAACATCTAAAGAGCACTATAAATTAAATATAATGTTCATATGTAGATATTCAAGAATTGACGCGAAAGAAGCGGGACAATGAAATGGGTCTTGACTCTTGGCGGCTTGGAGCTTCTAATGCATAACAAAGCAAGACCAGGAAAATATAATAGATGCCACAGACATGTAACCAAATACTGCTGTGTTCATAGAATACCATATATAGAAAGAGAGGGAAGTATGTACCTGGGCTGTAATAGAGCAGATGCTTGATGCTTCATGGTCTCGAAATTGATGGGGTAAAAGCAAAATAAGAGGAAAATGTGAGACTTTTTTTTTGTCTCTCGCTAGTCGTTGCGTGCCGGGGTACAGTCGTTGTGCGACTAGGGGTAGGGGTGGGGAGAGTTCTCTAGTAAAATCATAAAATGGATATCAAGGAGTAATATCATGTCTCAAGCACTTTGTGGTCTGATGATATTATTGTAACATTTTTAAAGAGAAGGGCACAGGTTCAAAATCATCACAGTGTTGACATTTAACATAAAGGATATTATAAGGAAAAAAAAGAGTGCAGCAAAAAAAAGTTAATACTAAGAGCTCGTTTGGAAACATAGAAATTGGCTGAATCGGTTGATTCTGCTGAAATTCATGAAGTTTTGGCTGAAATGGCTGGATTGACTGATTCTTCTTATATATACAAAAATTATATTCAAAAATTTTGTATTAATAAAATATAGAAAAAAATATGTGAAAAATAGTTAAAATAGTCTTCTACAATGACTTCAACCAATACAGCCAGAAAAGTAACTTCAAACTTACCTTTTCTTATTATTAGACAATTCAACGCGCAAAATCAAATGATATGTGTTTGGTGAAAAAGTTGGTCGTTAAGCTTGATAAGCCGAAAAATGGGCTCTAAGAATCCATTTGGTAATATTGAAATCGGTTGAATCAGCTGATGTTGTTGAATTTGTGAAGTTTCTGGCTGAAATGACGGATTGAATGATTTTGCTGATTTATGAAAAAATTATATTTAAAATATATCTTATTAGTAAAATAAATAAAAATTATATGAATGAATAGCTAAAAGGGTCATCTACAGTGAATTCAGCTAATACAGCCAGAAAAGTAACTTCAACCTTACTTTTTATTATTATTAACCAATTTAGCACGCAAAAATCAAAAGATATGTGTTTAATGAAAACTTGGTTGATAAGCGATAAGCAAAAAAATGTCACCAAATGGGCTCTAAAATGAATTGTTTTACACATTTCGAACCAAATACTTACACCATCTCCAATGCAACAATATACATGGTACATATGTGGCGTGAAAGACAAAAATAATACTCCCTCCGGTTCTAAATAAACTTCTCACTTTCCTTTTTGGGACGGTCCAAAATAAACTTCACACTTCCTTATTTCCTTATTTGGCAAAGAAATCTACACCAAAACAGTGTCAAACAGTGCCAAACAGTGTCTCAACAGTGCCAAACAGTGTCTCAACAGTGCCAAACAGTGCCAAACAGTGTCTCAACAGTGTACTCTACAGTAACGTCAACTTTATTTCCTTAATAACTGTGAAGTCAAACACTGAAGTTTAAAAAGAACCGGAGGGAGTAATAAATACTTTGTATAATATTTTTCTCGTTATTTGAATGATCTTATCAATTTTTTGGTAACTATTTCCAATTAATGTCATGAAAAGCATTAAAATGTATACATTATGTTTGACAGTCTTGATAAAAATAAACTAAAATGATACTTTTTAAGTTATACTTTGTTAACATAGATCGTTAATTATTCAAAAAAAGTATTACTACTACCTCCGTTCCTAAAAATTCTCCCCAGTTTGATTTGACAAGCTTATTAAGAAAGTGGAATAAAGTGGAAATGTAAGATTATCATTGTGCAAGAAAAACGTAAAATGAATTTGAGACACAAAAATTGT